CCAAAGAAAGGAGGGAATTAGGGAAGACATCGTCGTGGACCAGTCAGGGATGCCTTCATCACAGACCTCTGACCCCTGGGACCAGCCAAGGGGCTGAGCCTCTCTTCCCCCCACTGGGACACCTTTGGGTAAGACGAAGACTTACACTCAGCCGAGGAACTTCCTCGGAAACTTAGAAAATCTCTAGAGAATTATTCTACCAACTTAGTGCTTTGTAGTAACTTGTCACCTTTTAGCAATTAATAGCACTTTTAGTAACTTCTAACCTTAATGCTTGTACATACTTCTGCAGGCAGCAGATTATCACCAGCAACCCACACGAATCTGCATTATTCCTGTTGCTTTATTAAAGTGCTTTTATTCGCTTCTTGACTCGCTGCATAATTTCTCACTGGGCGCCGCCTGAGAGGCCGTGAGAGTCCAGAGATGGTGACTGAACAGTGGGTGCAGGGCTCTGTCGAGTGAATCTGGAACTAACGCACCCAGACTTGTAGTGCCACATGGAGTGAGCTGTGCCCGTCCGTGACCAGCCCCACCGTCCCCACAGGACACTGCTCAATGCTGCAGGTGTAGCTGTGAGAGTCCATCAGTCGTGGGTGCGGGAGAGCAGTGCTATCGAGTGAGGCTGCTGCTGTGGGACCCGTGGTGCTGAACTGGGCATCACCCAGGATCTAAGCCCAGCTGCCCCCAGCTCCTCCAGTATCTGAGGGTTGAACACAAGGGGGTTTATTTCCTGCCAAATGGCTTTACCACCCCTTTCACACAACACCATGGAAGCAGGAGACAGTATCTGAGTCCCACATAACTGCGTCCCCAGCTCCTCCCGTGGACAATTGTGTTCGGTGCTTTAAATCTCCAGGGTTTATGTTTTCCCATAATTAATGCTGTCAGCTTGACAGATGGTCTTAATTGTTAGTAGAATAAAAACCGTGAAGAAAATGGTTGACGTGCAATACTTGGGAATGTTTATAGCTCTTTGTTTTTCTGTCCGGCTGCTATGGATACAGCCGCATCAGCAGCAGAGGAGAGCGCTCTGACAAACTCCTGAACAGCTTCTTAACTGCAGCCGGTCTCCTGGAATTTGCTGAAGAGTCCTGTCATGCTCATGGTTAGGGGAAGGATACCTGATGGCAGTATCAAGACTTAACTGACTAGGCAGCAGAGATACAGGAATAGTAATAAATGTCTCTCACAGGCAGCATAAACAAGGGGGTAGCTTTTTTTTTTCCCCGCCTCGTGGTCTCATTACAACAGTTTTAGTTGCTGCTTGTAACAGCATGGTAATGGAGGAGGCTGGAAGCGGGGTAGGTGCTTGCAATTCAGTGCCTTGCTGCCCTGCCCGTGGGCCTGTGCTGAGTGGTTTCTGTGCCTTTCGGAAGGTGTGCATAATCCAGCGGCTACAACAAATGGCTTTAGAAATAACTTAACTCCCTGCACTTTAGTCTAATCTGTTGCCACGTGAAGGCAGGAACATGTTGTTGGCGAGGTTCCTCAGCTGACTTGCTTGAGGATGGTGGGTCTGCAGTGCTCTCCTGGAGTTATGAGGGGAAAGATTAGATTATTTCCTTCATTGTTTGAGTTATTTGAACTGCTTGGCATGACCTAAGCAGTCACCTAGTGCTGGTGGGATTTTGAGAGACCATGGAGGTCTTGGAGGGGGAGGCAATTTGCGGGAGGGCTGGGGAGCATGACAAGAGAAGGAAGCTAAAGAGAGAAAGAAGCTTGTAAGATTTTTTTAAACGAACAAAACAACCCCAGGGAATGTGAGCTAAATATTGTGGAGTCATTGACTAGCTGGCAGACGGATTTTTCCATGGAATCTGTCTGAAACTAGAGATTGCTTTGCAAGTCAGTTTTCATTGTAGGTGCTGCAGAGTTTCAGCTTGTAATTTCCCTGACAGTAAGATTTCATAGTCCTCTGTCTTATCAGCTGCCTGTCATATTTCCTCAGCAGAGAATAAAATGTTGGAAATGATATATTTATGTTTAATCTGCAGCTGGCAGAAGAGGGATGATGCTGTGAGGACTCTTACTACAGGGATAGCACAGATTTAAAAAATAGGACAATAAAGGCTTCTGCAGCTACATCATGATGGGTGTCCTGGCTAGAGCTGTGTTTGCATTTGAACATCCTTTTGCTTCACTTAAGTTCCAACCATATCCATTCACCTCAGTCTTTACCTTTGCCCTCTACCAGTGTTGTGTTTTGGTTTTGTTTTTTTTTCTTTTTTGCCTCTGTAGTCCTTTACAGCCAGCTCAGTGATCCTCCTCTGCTGAAGGAGGGCTCTCCTTGGTCTCTCTAATCTCAGCTTGCAACAGGTCACCTTAGATTAGTCTTTGGGGGAATGTTTTCCTCCCTGTAGGATGTCTTAAGACCTGTAGTCCCTTCAGAAGCCCTGGGTCTCCTTGCTGCCTGTGGATCTGGTTTGCAGTTGTGCAGTATGGAGAAGAGATGCTCCTGATCCTGTGCACAAGGACTCTTCTCCGTCCAGCTGCCGGGAATGCTGCTCTGCCGGGGAGGTTTTGCTTTGCTTCTGGTTTAGCTGTTGGGGCAGCTGCATGCTGCATAGCTAAAAATAGAAGCTCTGCCATTCTTTGTGTAAAGATAGATGGTCCTCAGCCCTTGTGCTTGAGCTGCTGACAGAAGATTTTGGTCTCATCTGTTTCTTTGAAATTAACTTTTGCTAGCTGACAGAGAAAACATGTTTATTGCTTCCCTCCAATTCTCTTGATCCTGTTGGAGCTGCAACTTCTACCTCTTTGCAGATGTTTTTTTTTATTTGTGGGGTTTTGTTTGGGTTTTTGTTTGTTTGTTTGTTTTTGTTCCTTCCTGGGTTTGGGGTGGAGACCTGCTGGCTGGAGGAAGGTGAATTTATCACGACACTCCAGCAGCATCATAGACTGATAGTAGGAGCTTTGTGTTTTAAGTTCCAGCAATATGTCCTGCGTTTCACACTTGT